TGTTCATATTGATTGAGAGATAGCAGGAGGGGGGGGCAGGCTGAATCAGTTGTTTTTTATTCTCTCCCCCACATGAAACTGTAAGTATCAGTTATTTTTACAGAGAAACTGATATTTTAAATGAAAAAAATGTGAAAAATTAAGAATAAATGTGATGTTATAATGAAAGTAACATATTTCCCTTCTCTCCAATTTTTTGCCTCAAGCCATATTTTTTGTAAGATTTTAGAAATTACAAGAATAAATATTAACAAAAACTTTAGCTATGTTCCATGTGGTCAAGCTATTTGAACATAAACTATGTACAAATATTTTATTGTAAATTCATGCTTACAAAACTATTATTAGAAGCTTTTTCAATAAGGAATTTTCTAAATATAATATTCAAATTGGTTTTCTTTATACAAGTACAACTTTTGTTGCACTAATTTTCTCTCTACCACATTTCAGATAGTCTATTACTTATTGACAGACACACACATATATTTTTATAATTAATATTAATATAATGTTGAAAATGAAACACAAGAAAATAGACTAAGTTTCTCAGATATTATATTTCTGCAGCAGAAGATTCTAAAAAATGTAACTCATGAAGTTGATGTGAGACAAGGCAGGCACTGAACATAGGGTTTATACAAGAACATTTTGTATGTAAAGAGGAAGAAGATTATTTTTTAGCAGGCCAAGAGTAAATGAAAGATCTTTCTTATTTTTAACTACATCCAAGGCAACCACATGATTATAGTTCTTTCCCATTTTCATCAAAAAGTATATTTAAGAGTAAAAATATTTCTCTGTGTTATTGATTATCATACACTCAATTTAATAATTCCCCGTGTTGTATATGGTAAAGAGCATGAGAACAATTTGTTTATGATGGGTTATGATAAATGAACATGAAGATTCAAACACCATACTTATTATTGGGCAGAAACTTCTAGTTTTAGTTTCAACCATGAAAACATTGAAGAATTATTGTTTACTCATAAAGTGAGAAGAAAAATTAATGAATAGATAATGGAAAGAATTGTTGAAGTTGTGAAACTGATTGGTAGAGAAAGACTAAACTGCAATACATATGAGTCAGTCTTAAGTTTTAATTCATCGATAGATCATGGAAATCAAGAATTTTTCATTTTACTAAGTAAATATGATCTGCTATTGTAGGGGTATTTAGAAAATGTAGTAAAAAACAATGTCTGATAGCAGAGAAATCTGGAAGTAAAGGTCATGGTAGTTCAGGATTATCCTAAATGATGGTGAATAACATCATAATGTTTATTTTATCATTAATAAAGTAGGCAAGAAAGTAAAAGAAGCTGGTATGTTTTCAATACAATTAGATGCAACAAAAGTATTACAGAAACAGAAATGTTAAAAATGTTCTTGAAGTATGAAACAATAGTGATAGCAATCTAACAACTTCTTTGTCCTGCAGACATAATAAATTTGTACAACATTATTAGTCAAAGCAAACAATGTTATCAATAATCTGACAATAAATATATTCAATCATTATAAAAACTGGGGCCATGCATATTTTCAATCTGATTTGAATTGGTATACAATTGCTGGCATGTACAATGTAACCCGGATATAAGAGAAACCCGGATATAAGAGAGATTTTCTCTGGTCCCAAATTAGAGCCTGTGTTAATGTATATAAAATAGACGAAACCCGGATATAAGAGACTTCTTCTCTGGTCCCGACAACTCTCTTATATCCAGGTTACACTGTATATGCATCCAAAACTTGAAACCAGCACAGTGGGCAGTTCTTTTGGTGAATAGGGTAAGTGGAGCAGGATCATTTTTTGCTGGATGATATGTAAAGCATGATGTCTTGCATAATAGGTTCCTTTCTATTCACCACTGCTAGTCAAAATGTTTTAAACTGACCAGACTACAAGAAGTTGTAATGGATTACATCATTATGGTCAAGAGGATTTTCCTGGGACAATTATTTGATTTGGTGAAGGTTGGGAGAGAGTGAGGTTATTGATTTAAAGAAAGCCATATTTATTATATCAACAGTAAACACAAGATTAAGTAAAGAATCCTTTTTACATGAACAAATTGCAGTAAGTGCAAACAGGTGATAGTCAATTCATGGATGGGTTACTTTCATCAAGCTTTACTCCTAACATCCAATTGTTTGTTTTTGGATGAGCTGTTTGAGGAATTCTCTCAATGATCAAACTTTTCAAAGACTTAAGATCCATTTGCAGAAAGCATGACATGTGACCATGATCAGGATTATCTTGGAAATCCAGATGATGCAAAATTTTGAAAATAGAGACTTTGTTCTGAAGTTGACTCTATTTCCAGCCTCCAAATACTGTTAATGCAGCAGGTGAAGTTGTATTGTAATGGGTGAGTTTGTATTCATGGGGCATAATGACATAAAAATTGTGTTTATTCAACTATGCTTCTTTGATATTCTAATGAAAAAATGGAATGAAAATTCAAAGAATACACAAAACTGGAGTACTTTAAAATTAGTAGAAAAAACAAGTATAATAGCCTCATCCAAGTGTAAAAAAAAAAAAATAAAAAATATAGAAGCCCGAATAATAAAGAAGGAAAATATTCAATAAGATTAAGTATGAACATGGCCACAAAAGAAGTTTAATGCCATTTTCAAGTGTGAATGTTTTTTTAAAAGAAATTTTATTTTTTCCTTTTAGCTGTTACATTATTTTTTGTATGGATATTCATGAAGGAAATAATTCTGAATTACCACCTTTGACTAATTTACCTCATTGGAATAGTAATATATGATAATAAAATAACTCTTAAATTTAGAATTATTTAAAAGAAAGCAGATTGGGTGCAATTAAATATTTTATGACATCAAATGGATAAGATAATAATAAAAAAACAACTCAAATGTATAATTTGACTAAAAAATATTTCTAATGTAGTATCTTAGATTATTTTTTGTATGGATGTACAGAAGGAAAATAATTCTGATTTCTTGCCTTTGATTATTCTACTAAGTTTTAGAAAAGCATATATAATAAAAAAAATGTATTCTTAAGCTATTGGTTATATAGAATTAAAATAATTTTATGGAAAAAAAATAAAGGATATTACATCAATGCCAATGAATAATGAAGAAAGAACTCAAAGCAACTGCAATCAGTTAACATTATCAATTCAATAACCCTTTACCAATTTTGCCCACATTTTGTTATTTTAATATATTTCCTTAAGTGCAGAATTATTTGTAAAAAATCTCGTTGGGTGCAATTATATATTTTATGGTATTAAATATGTAAAAAAAAAATAAAAAATAAATAAACAATTAATCTTAAAAGTGTCATTTATCTAAAAAAAAGTACTTCTAATATATAAAATTATTCATTCTACTAAGTTTAACAAAAGTGTATAGAATAAAAAATATTTTTAATCTATTGGTCATATAAGGTAATTTATTTTTAAATACAAATACCAATTTCTTGATTATTGCACTACTGGTGTTCCGTATTCCTTCAATTTTAATTTTTCGCGCGCTTTTTGATATAGGGGAGTCATTATCCTGTTTTTGTGCACACCTTTAACCCTACAAGCTATCGTGTATAAATAAACGTTATTTTCATTAAATTCTAAGTAAAAAGTAAACATGACTTTTAAAAAATCCGCTTAATTAATCCTTAAATTTATTAAATAACTTCGAAACATCTCTAGGTTAAACATCAGATTCATTGTTTCCATTTTTCGTCTAAAATGGCGGTTCGAGGAGTCAATGAGTGAACGTGCCAATATTTTAAAATACATAAAATCTTTAATTACATACGGAAATTGTTTTTCTTTTAATACGGAACTAAGCTCTTTCAGATAAAAACCAAAATTTAACTTCAAAGACATTTAAAATGCGTTTACTATTTTGAAAGTCTCTAGCCTCGGTACCTAATTTATTTAACTAGCATAAAATTTTCAATTGAAACAATTTCATGCTTCTGACTGAATTCTTATGTTTCTTTTTTCTTTGAGAAATAAGCAAAAAGTATCTGGTCGGTTTTTCAAAATTACGTGGAAGTCCAAATTTATTTCATATCGATTCTGGTATCAACCGTTTTCAACCAACACAGCATTCATTCAATCTGTCAACGAATATGACATTTACTAGGTTCATTTTTGATGTTTCTTTTTCTAACATATCAATTGATTATCATTGTTTGCTAAACGAAAACTGAAAGAAGGCAACTGAATAAATATTATAATAATAATAATATTTATTCAGTTGCCTTGGAGACTCCACTAAAAAGCTATAAAAGGTTAAAAACAATTTATGGCATTTCTGATCAACTGCAAAAACACAAGTTCTTGAATCTAGATATTATTAAAAAAAACAAAAAAAAAACATCGTAGATATAAAAATTCATACAAAGAATAATTTTTTGATTTGCTAAGATACCCATGGCATGACAAACGATCCAACGTTTAAAAAAGACCCGATACCATCACAATCAACTAGCTTCCTTAAATTGTCAATCAGTCCGCTTCCCTACTAAATAAATATAGCAAGCTTCAAGATTTTTTAAAATTATGTTCAATGTGTAGATTTTGTAAAAATGCTAAAAATGAATTTTTTCGCGATACACAATTCTTAAATAGTTCGAGAAATTTCGTTAAGCGATAAATTTTAAAAAAGAAAAGTTGCTTAATTGAAATAAGTTACAAAAAAAAAACATCAAAGTGTTAGTGTTATCGTTTTTAGTTGAATAATCTTTAATTTTAAAAAATTAAATAAATCATTCTTCTTTGATAAATTTATCAACTTACAATTGAATACAATGTTGTTAGCTCCTAATCAAGACAAGAGCAAGTGACTTTACATTATTTCACAAAATATGCCGATTAGCATGTAAACGTTGATTTTAATGAAAATAATTTTTTTCATTAATTTTAGAATTATCCATAGCAGAACAAAGAGAATTTAAGAAAGAATCGATACGCTTAGTGATTATGCCCCTGACTTTATATCCACCTATTATGGCGGGGGTTCCCTTTCTGAAACACGGGGTACGAAAATGATCGCGCAGAAAAGATGAATAGAATTTTTTATTACTCATTCAATAATATTTTATTTCTCTAGTGCCAAAAGCTTCTTATTTTTTTTCACAAAAACTTGTATGATTCAATTATCTTTTATATGTATTTTATTTATTTCTCTCTTTTTATAATGTCGTCATAACAATCCCGCGCTGTCTACTATACGTGAGTTTTATTGGTCAGTCTGGTTTCTCTCTCGTAATTTGCCGCTTAAAGTTACCCAGCAGAATTGTCGAGACGCCATATTTTGCGGCTTCCTTCTCTACTCTTTCTTGTGCAGGTCAGTATCGTATCATTGTAATTGTGAAAACAAAAACAAAAGAAGCCAAACATTATAATACTTAAAAACTGCACATGAACGCAGTCGGAGGTTCTTCCGCGATTGGTTTTCTTTTTTTTGTTGGGAAAATTGCATTAATCTGAATTCTTTTCTTGCTGATCCACTACCACTTTTTACTCTGATTCCATTATCTGCAACCCATCTTTCCTTGTGTCTAACATCCAGTTGGTTATTATAATGAATCGCTTTCTTCGAGCGAAACTGATTCCAAAATATCATTGTATATATATCATTGTATATAGTATATTCTCAATGTTGCTATTTTAAAAAAAATTCTCCAGATGTCTTGTTCGATCTATTTTTTTTTTTTTTAACTACATTGAAATGCAAATTGCGTTCAGGTCGTCTTACTCAAAAAATCATGTTTGCAAAACAGCTTTTCTACTCCCGAGACACTGTCTTTTTAGCACTTTTGTATCCAATTAAATTGGTTTGAAAATTCAGTACCTATTCTGGAGCTTATTGCATTCGAACTGGATTATTAATAGAGCTGACACTTTCGATGCTATGTAATTTTTAAACTAATGCATTTTGTTTTTAGTCCGACATTTTATTTTTTAAACGTTATTTTATTCAATAAAATAACGCTTACAAAAATTCCTATCTGAAAACTTATTTCTAGTAATTTATTTCCAGTAGAAATAAGCTAAAACTAGACTTTGGCGGTTTCTGTCTGTATATTTCCATTATAATAAAGATATAGTTCTAGATGAATGTGGATTGTTTTACGTCTCCTCACCTCAGAATTAAGCATTTGCTCAATGTTTCGACAGGATGATAGTCACGTGCAAGGGAAGCAGGTTCATTTAGCTGCATTACGACCAATTTGCTTTGCGTGTATATGGATGATTACCCTATCAAACTTAATTTTCTCTTTCAAATTTACTTCCAATCGGCAGTAAACAAAGCCGTGGCTTTTTTTTTTTTTTTTTTTTTTTACGTTTAAAAATAATACCTTGAAAATTGCTTGAACTTTCCAAAGATCCGTTCTCAGAAAGGTTCTTCATGTATTTTTTCCCCACCTCTATATTCTTTCTAACTACGAGACTTGTTACTTTCTGGATATTGCATGCCCCCCCCAAAAAAAGCGCGCCATTTCAGAAAGTTTCTCGGACGAATTTAAAAATAAACAAATTTCTCCAAGTCTACTTAAAGCTTACTAAATCTATTGGCTGTATTTGATCTTATGGGAAGATGAAACTACTTCATTTACATCACTTGTGCCTACCCCCGTCCACACCAAAAAAATACCAAGATACTTAAAATAAGTTTTGACTATTTGACCGTTTCATTTCATATTCTCTGTTCTGTTTAGTCACCTTGATTACTGTGAGTTTTTTTTTTTCTACGAACGTTTCAGCAGCACACATTTTTCTTGAACTTTTATCTTGTGCTTGGACCTTGAATTTCGATACGCAATTTTTTTTTTTTTTTTTTTAACCAAATTTTGGTTGGAGTGTGTTGATGGGTCAATCTAAAATTAACGCAAATACAGCTTTTAATGGAAAATTTTCTATTAAACATTTTCGTTACTTTTTATAGTTGAAAAATTGGAATTAATAAATAAAAACAGATTTACAAAATCTATTTGATGTTCGTTATTACAAGCAACAGTAGCATTCGCTCTCTACCTTGCGTGCATGAAATAGAATTGAGGTAGGAAACTCCATTGTTTTCGAAATCAGTGATGTTAAGAGTAGGAAGATGAGAATCTTGAAATGTCGCATACTTTGATCAACATTTCTATAAATCTTTTTGCCCGGCCATATTGAGTCTAATGCACATTGCAGTAACCGTGGTTAGTTAAGATATTTTTGTCTTCATAGCATAATATTTAGACGTTTAAAATCCAAATCATCACATTCTCTCCAAGATAAATTTATCCCAGTAATAGTGCTTGCTATTGGCTTGTGTGATCTTCCAATTTTTCAGCAGTTGATGAAAATTGCACTATTAATGGCCATCTTTTTTTAATAGATATATATATGTGTAGTCTATTTCTCTGTTTCCCCAGTCAGCAGTGTGACATCACATGGTCTTCTGATTTTATTTGTGGCCGTAAACCTTTTAATTTGCTGTGTATTTTACAGAGAACTTAATGAATCATTTTAAAATGCGCTTCAAATGCTAAGATTTTTTTTTATCTTTTTGTGGGGTGGGGACGAAATATAGTTAACAAAAGGGAAATGGATTTGTTATTCGGATAACTGAATATTACCGTTATTAATAACCTCATTTTGAACGGTTAAGCATCCGTATGAATCTTAAAATATTTACATTTTCCATCCATTTGACAAATGTTGAATTTTTTTTTGTTTGTGCCTTGTATTGTTTTGGTGCATACCGGCAGTGCATTTTATTCATCAGGCTTCCAAAGCCAGACTCCACCCGAAAAAAAAACATTTCAGATTATTCCTGGAGACAACTTTGAAACGCGTATAATCATACGCAACAATTTAGACAATGAGCGAAAGATGTATTTTTATTGCAGCAACTAAGGAATAGGTTCGCAGAAGTTGCAGATCACTTACTTTAAAAATTATCGCCCCCCCCCTCCAAAAAAAAAGATGCAGAGAATAAATACAATAACTGAAGAGAACAAATTGATGTAAAAGGCGATTTATGACATCCGTTTTTCTTGAATGTATATTTTCCATCAATTTATTGTCAATTATTTTAGTAACCGTTTCACTTAATGATTTGTAAAGAAAATATTAAAATCCATCTATTAGTTAAAATTCATCTTGTATACATTCATTTCTTGAGACTTTTTAAAGTTTTTCAATTTTTTTATATTCATGTCATGATTTCATTTCATAGAAGGAAAAATGCTGTTGTCTTGAGGTAGTTTTGTTTTTTTTTTTGTTTTTTTTTAACCAGCAAGTCATTTCTGTTAAGGTTTATTGTTAATCTCAATGAGTATAAAAAAAAATCTTAACTGTTTTATAATTATCTTATTACTTAACGTAATATCAAATCTGTTCACCATTAAATTTTTTTTTTTTTTTCAATATTTAGTTCGTTTTTTTGGGGTTTTTTTGTTTTTTTTTTGTTTTGTTTTTTTTTTTCTTCCTGTATAGCCAAAAGATCAACTTTTAATATTTGAACTTAAATTATACAGTTTATTTGCACAAATGATTAGCTTTTTCACGAAGTCTGGAGAGATAAAATAATTTTATTTCAGACTATAGCTTTCATTTTATTTATGATCAAATTGTAAGTCTTCATGGGTGCAAAGGTAGAATTTAGTTTAGTTGATGGAAAAGGACGTAAGACTGAGACTAGATAAAGCAATCTAAAGGTAATTCAGAATTTAGTATGCAAAAAATTTCTGATGCCAGAAACCTGAATTTAGATTCTTTAGGTTTTTAATATGAAAGTTTTTTTTTTTTTTTATACTTCATCAGAATAATTTTTCTCTCATTTGAATACTTTTATTTTTACATTTACATGCATCAGTGACTAAAGCTTTGCTTATTTCTCTATTTGCAGACACTTTGAAATTTAAACTGTTAAAATTTCTAAACTATTTTAAAATTACCTTGGACTTTCAAAATCGTGGGAATTTCAAATTTGCTATCCTAATATTTCGAAAAGATTTTCTTGATAAATTCCGTAAATTTTGGAGATGGTTTTATTCGAAGCCAGTCTTGCTGTCATATATACAGTATTCTAAATTTTATCTAATTTATACTATCAAGAATTCTCTATTAAAGTGATGGTTGAATCCTTCGCTTTTTTTAATAGGAACTTCGAATTCTAATATTAGAAACTTATACTTTTTAGTCACTTTGTGTCTATTTGATCACGTTAAGAACTTGCTGATGGCAACATTCAAAGTCTTAATGCTGTGAAAATTATTAGATACCTACTAAAGTGCACGTTTTTATCTTAACGTAGCTTACAAATCGAAACAGCCAAAAGTTCGTGCAAATTAAGATCCCTTATTTTATTTAGAAAATTAATTTAAATGCTTTATATGTGCGCTTTTGCCTTAACAACTTTCGTATTTGTATTATTTCCAAATCTTCCGTGCATATGCGTGCAAAAATAACTGCTCTTTAATCTTTTACCAGATGACAAGAAGAAGGGAGGTATTTTTTTATATATATATACATACATACACACACACACACACATATATAATAATTGCATATTGTTTCGTTTTTTTTTTTCCATATTTCTCTGCCTAATGTTATTGTTTTCTTTTGCTTTTTTTTTTCCATAGACTTTCTATGTACATTTTTACCTGCTGATTCCAGTTTTTTATTGAGTCCCTATTTACAAGAAAGTGGGAGGTAACTTTTTTTTTTTTTTTTTTTTTTTTTCTCCTATTGTTTCTGCTAAGAATTTATTACTTTAATGAATATGACTTCAGAATCTAAAATAGAGCTGGCTTTTTTCTGTTTCACTTTGTGAATTTTTTTTTTTTTTTTTTGTATATTGGCAACAGAGAAGTGTCTTGATGTAATTTTTCTATTTCTCTGTTCCCTTCAGTTGTGTTCAATTTCCAGGATCCAGTTTCTTATATCTGATTACTTTCAAATAATCACACAGTCATTAGTTTTTACTTTTCATGGGTTTTTTCCCATCCCTCTTTTTATGCAAATACTTGATTTGCATTGATCAGCTTTAAAGCAACTTTATCTAGGGGTTTAGTAGAAATTATGGGTACTTTAAAGACTTAAAATTCTTAATTAGTTTATTGGCACTTCGCTGTTGCTCGTTTTTTTCTGTATGAAATAATCAATGAAGCCTACCTTATCTTAACAATTTTAGATGTAGGTTTTTTTTTTTTTTTTTAATACATCAAATTCATTTAAAATTTATTTATACAAATGTTATAAAAAATCTGGGTAAAAGTTGATTCTGAAGTTATATTTCTTTTTAGCTTATTTTAAACTGTATTTTTTTTTCCTTTTTGCCATCTAAGCTTTGGTGTGAATGTAGTCTTTTTTTTTTTTTTTTTTTTTTTTTTTTCTTAAAACTTGGAAATAAATCTGCCCACCCTCTTGTAGGTTCTGAATTATAGTACTTAATATCAGTCATGACACTTGCCATTTAAGGTAGTAATATAAACAGTGCCACAAGAAAACTTCCAGGACTCAATGCTTTAAACTATATAAAATCTTCATTTCATTCCTTGGCATGCTTCTTGTACACATGATGTTATTTTATATTTTTGTCAATCTGCTTGAATTATGCAACAGTTTGGAATGCTTTTATATTTCTATATATCATTTAGTACTTATTTTAAAAGTGGTACATAATTTAGTTTACCTGAATCAAACTTCAGGATTGATATATATAACATACCATTTTCTCTTAGATGATTTCTGTATACCCAAATTATCTTGAACATGTGATGTCACACTGGCTGTTTATTAGATAAAAATCGTTTTATATTGGATGAATCTGGATGGTACTGAAGAGTGAACATTGATATGAAAATTGCAACAGTGTTCTCCATGGCCTGTGTGGCAACATGAAAAAGCAAAGTGCTTTTTTAACCTATTTCTGTTTCTCTGTTGTCACCTCCTTCCTGTGCGTGTTTTCTGTGTCGCCCCCCCTCTCATTTGTACATGTTTTTTCTCTTTGTGTGCCCTCCTTCCTGTGTGTGTGTTTTTCTTTCTTTCTCTCTCTGTGCTGCCTCCCCCTCCCTGTGCGTGTTTCCTCATGTATCTGGTATCAGTGTGATTGTGTTGGGAAATCTTAATTCTATTAAATGGTTGAAATGTAAACTTCAGTTTTCTGTAATAATTTAAGACAATTTTAGATTAATGTTTACTCTTGCTTCATTTGCAGGGGGAAGGTACATTTTGTTTTAGCTTTGTGTGATGAATGGCTGATTTTGATAAAAATTTTATTGCATGTCATTTCTCTCTCAAAAATTACTTTGAAACCCATGATCAATTTTATATTTATTTAAAGTCCTTGAGAGGATATAACAAAAATGGTTACTATTTGGATATTAAGGAAAAAGCTTTTAAAATTTGTATGTTGCATTGTGGGGAGGCAAGATTTATGCTGTTAAAATGTAATTTTACATTTCAACAATTTAATTTTTTTTTTTTCTCCCTTTCAAACTGATTAAAGAATTACTGTCTCCCCAGGTTCCCACCCCCACAAAAAAAAAAAAAATCACCAAATCTTTAATTTTCAAAACCATTTTATTTTAAATAATTATGGAGAACACTGAAGCAACATAATTGGTCATAATTTTTTTAATTTTTTTTTTTTTTTATTTTTTTGTTGTCTATATATTTTCAATTTTCCCAGGATTCCTCTGATATAATTTTCTTTTTTTTTTTTTTTTTTTTTTTTTTTTTTTTTTTTTTTTCTCCCAATGGAGGAACATACATATTGCCTGGAGGTTCTTGAGAGACTGCAATATAAACATTCAAGCTGGAGATGGAAGATAACAACCGAACCAACCTGATAATAAATTACATCCCTCAAACTTTGACAGATGAAGAATTTCGTTCTATGTTTCTCAGCATAGGGCCCATCAAATCTGCAAAAATAGTCAGAGATAAAGCTACTGGCTACAGTTATGGGTTTGGCTTTGTTGATTATGAAAAAGTTGAAGATGCTCAAAGAGCCATGCAAACCCTAAATGGACTCCAGATGCAAAATAAAACCATCAAAGTTGCATTAGCAAGGCCAGGCGGTGAAGAAATAAAGGGAGCTAATCTTTATGTTCGAAATCTTCCTAGGCATTATCAGCAAATGGATTTAGAGCGTCTTTTCCAGAGATTTGGAACTATCATACAGTCCAGAGTTTTGACAGATCAGACTACAGGTCAGTCAAAAGGTGTTGGTTTTGTCCTTTTTGACCAGAAGAAGCAAGCTGAAGAAGCAATAAGCCAGATAAGTGGCACAGTTCCTGCTGGTGGAACAGAGCCACTTCTCATAAAGTTTGCTGATGATAATGCAAAGAAGGTACGTCCCCCTGCAATGCCCTACATCAATACTGCTCCATGCTTTCCAGCACCAGGTCCTGGTCCAATGAGAAGTCCAGGCAATAGGTTCCGTTATAATCCAGTTACAGGCAATTACTCAACACCAAACTCTGGTTTGAGTCTTTCTCAGGGAGGATATGTTCTATTTGTTTACAACATTGGAACTAATTCTAATGAAAAAACCTTGTGGCAATTATTTTCTCCCTTTGGAACGGTGCAGAAAGTCAACATCATGAGAGATCACCAGAAGGGACAATCTAAAAATTATGGTTTTGTCACAATGACCAATCTACAAGAAGCTCAGAATGCAATTGGACGACTCAATGGCTATGACTATACTGGTTGTGGTCGACCTCTGCAAGTGAAATTCAAGAACTAGTACATTTTAGAAAAAGCTTCTCCATTTTATCTATCTAATATATATATATATATATATATATATATATATATATATATATATATATATATATATATATACACACACACATATTTTTTTTTTTATTTTTTTTTTTACGCATTTTTTTTTTTTTCCTCCTTTCCATTTTTCCTGGATCATCATTTTGAAGGATGAATGCATTAGGTTTTAAGAAAAGCCATCAATAAAATTACATAATAGTAACAATCTGGGATTCCCTACTGCCCTCACACAAAACCCTGTCCTTGTTCTTTTTGAAACTTTTTATTTTTATTAACCTCCCACTCCACCATCTCTTAAAGTCATTTCGCAATAGACTTGGGCTGACTTATCAACATCTTGCAATCCAGATAGGTTTTGTTTTTTTTCTTTGTCTTTTTTTTTTTTTTTGTCTTTTTAATATATATAAACACATTTTGTGAAAAAGGACAATTGTATCTTAGTTGCATAAACTGCAATTTGCTTTCAGCAGAATTGTTTTTCTTTTATACAATGATTTCCCTCATTAAATTGACATGAATTTGTTACTGAGCACACCCAAGAGATGAAGTATAATTGCACATGGGAGCTCTACACAAAGTTTTTTTTTTTTTTTTTTTTTTCCTTTCTTGCTGCTTCTGTTTGAATTTTAACTTGTATACTTAAAAACCCTTAGGTAATACATTGTATATTGGTGTGCATTAGCAGCTGTGGCTTTCAATAGTTACCAATTCTTTTCTTTTCCTTATTTTATTACTAATTGCCAGATATGTTTGAACTACCTCCTTTTAGATTAATACAAAGCTACTCAACAGTTATGTTTCGAAACAAATTTTTGTAATTCTAGAGTGCTAGTGTGTGGGGGGGGGGTATGGTGGGGGGGGGAGAGTCTTATGTTGAGTGAAATTTACTTTTAGTTTTTTAGCTTTATTGTGGTAAGCAGCTTTTTGGCTTAGAATCTTTATACCCAGATGTTGGACTTTCAGCAAGCTACATATTGCATTCTGTTTCATTCAGTGGATGTTCTCAGTAACATTTTAATATGTATTCTGGCAAATAAATGATGGTTAAAAAGAATGGATTTTTTTTTTTTTTTTTTTTATATATATATTATTGACAATAAACTAGAACTGGAATTGAGTTTTTCTTCTTTTTTCTTTTTTTTTTTTCCATTTTTTTTTTTTTTTTTTACTTTCTGCAATATGCGCTTTTTACCTCTGCAAAAATGTCTTTTTTTTTTCTTTTTTTTTTTTTTTTTTTTTAATTTTTTTTTTTTTTTTTATTATATATATATATATGGGCAAACTAATTATCAGACCGCAATCCTAGTAGAAAACTAGGAACTGAGTAATAAATATAATCAGGTAAACTTGATGTCAAAAAAAAAAAAAAAAAAAAAAAAAATACGGTTGGGATGGGTGATATAAGGCATGAATTTATTACTACCAGGTAGGTGGATTTATTTTTTTTTTTTTTTTTTATAGTTAATCTCATTGATTCAGTAGCCATTAATTTGTATAAGAACAGATTGAAATGCCTAGCTACATTGCTTTTATACATAAAACCATTAGATATGTATTTTGACATTTACCTTGTGAAAAAAAAAATGCTAATGCAGGAACAACTTTTTGGTTATGCTAACTATAGCTTGCTAACCAAAATATAAGTGAATTAAAGCTAATTTTTGTCTAAAGTTATTCATATACATGTATATATCTGGAGTGGCTTGAGCTTTCCTCATATTACTTAACTGAAAAGATCTTGTCTATGCTTAATTTAGGAAGGTTATTAAGGTAACAATCTGGATTATCTGAATAAATATCACTTAAATCTCTTATACAAGGATATGTTTATGCTTACTACTTGTAAGTGGCTTAGTTTAATATAAGCATTTAGCTCATTCTTGCTACTGTTTAGGTGTTGACCTCTTTGTACACCCCCTCGTTTTTTTTCCTTCTAGTAGATACTTCCCCTTGTAAATAATTGCTACAATTTGATGTTAAACTAGCCTTTGCATTAGGTTGACATGGATTTGTAGACTCTACAAATAAATATTGGGATGGGTTAGTTGTTTGTGCTTCCTCCTCTTATACTCTTGATGTTAAGGTGGTAATGTTCTTTAAATTCCTGCTTCAGCATTAAGAACACTTTACATACAGTAACTGTTTTAGGTATTATAAGTCCACTATATCTTACAGAATGTATTTGGTATGTATGCTGTTAAGATATTTTTGTTTTTCATAGAATTTGAAACTGCTTTCCCTTCAGCCATGATGTAAATGTGGTAGTTTTATTTTTTGCATTTTGTAAAAAAAATTTTTTTTTCTTTTCTTTTTTTTTTTTTTTTTTTTTTTTTTTTAAACCACCTCTTTAAAAAAGGAATTTAGGTTACTTTCAGTTTTGTGCACAAACCATTCCCTTTCAATCACCCACCCACCCACCGTCTCTCTTTTTTTTTTTTTTTTTTTCTCCTTTCTTTTAAATTTTGTGTGTTTGTTGGGGGTGGGGAGTGGAATCAAGTGACATGGATTCAGCTTGTTCAGTCAAGTGTTCAACTGAGCAAAGTTTGGATGGATCTGACCCTACCCCACACTTTGGAAGTTGCATAGAAAGTAAATTTGCCCAAATCCATGAGTTTGACAATTGAAACATATATTGAAAGAAACGCTTCAGTATGATGGAACCTCTGAACTCTTCCCTCCATCTTTGATCAACCTGGTGGCATTGGATGCAGGCATTTTGTTTTTCTATTTTCATATTGTTTAAATTGACATGCATTTTTTTTCTCATTTTCTTATAAAACAAATATATTCATACACCCACAGACACACAATTCATCAAGTCTCTTTATTCCTCTTTCTAATTTTGATCTGTAGCTGGACTAAACTTTTACATTTGTATCATAAATTTTTATTTGTAGATGTTGCTTAATTTTTAATATTCTAGTACTTAATGAGGTAGGAGGGCCCATTATAATTTTTTCTTTTCCCTCTCTACCCTGCAAAATTTAGAGCAACATCTGTTCTTTCTTTTCATATCTTGTCCTGTTTGCTGTTGATTAATCTGTCATGTTAATGAAAAAAAAAAAAAAAAATAAATAAAAAATTCTTAAACTAAAAATTAATTTTCCACCAATTCTACTTTTCAGGGTTATGCCAGGATGGAGAGATTGTATGCTGCCAGCCACCACCCCCGCAGATAGGGACCCCAACAACCAGTGATGCTAAAAGGGATAGGGTGGGCTAAAAATAATGCTATCTACCCTCTAAAAATCTGTCAATTTAAATGTAGCAGCAAGTTTTTAGTGTTCATTTGCAGTAAGCAGGAACTCTTAAAACTTTGAATTGATGCTGCTGCTATAATGACTTAGTTAAAATTTTCTCTTACAGTGTATTTTCTGCAGCTTCTATCACTTTAGCATGCTTCAGTGATAAAAGTATGTACCAAGCCTCTACATTGAAAGTTTTCTTTTCTTTCTTTAGCATGTTAAAGTTATGACTGCACACAGATTAAAGTTGAACTTTATTTTTCAAGCAGGTTAAAAATGTTGCCATCCTTAGCATTCTAAATAACCTCAACTTTATGTATTTTTTTTTTTTTTTTTTGTGTGGCAATACTATTTATAAACCTGTTTTGTCCTGACGAGTTCAGTTTCTAACTTAGTATATATACTTTACGGAGAAGATGGAAAAAAAACTTTCATAGCAATTCTATGCCAAGAATCATATTGGAAATTTGAAGTTTTGCAAAGGAAATAGAGGTTAAAGATGGTCATTGTTGGTCTAAACTGCTTAATTATTACATTACATGATCATTCTTTTTTGTAATTTCATTTGGAAATACATTGAAAAGAAATTTGAAATCCATACTTGTTTTTGTTTAGTCATTTCAGTTAAATTTATTCCTTTTTTAATTTCATGCATGCATATTTAAAATTTTCTTTTTTGTAATGGAGAAAAAAAATTACAAACAAACAAGACATTTTGAAAATGTTTTAATCTGAAGGTTAATTCAGCAAGACTTGGCAATAGCACAATTTGTGCTGTGAACTTATAGGAATTCAGTTGATCAAGAATGGCAGCCTTTCATGCTGGTCTGAAAATAAGCTGATTATAGTCACAAAAGAATGCATTTACTAAGCATATAGTCATCCCATTTATTTGCAGTAAGAGTTTAAATGAAATGAACAAAAAAAAAAAAAAAATATATGAATAAATCAATACCTCAAAAACTAAAAAGCCTGAGTTTGTTATAAAATAACTTGAAACTTGGATAAAGTCCACTTGTGAAATGTAACTGAACACTCAGTATTTATAATAAAACTAAATACCTTGTGTAAGTAATATTACAAATTAAAGAACTTCATTTTCCTCTTATTTGTTCTTAAAAGAAACTTGAAGTGGGCCCCATCCTCGGTAGCGATACCCATTCAACCTGCTGATGGCATTTTCTGCCTCATGGTGATTAGCCATAGTTACAAAACCGTAACCTTTAGTCTTCTGTTGCACACGCACAATGTTTGCTTTTTGCACATGACCAAACCCAGAAAAGAGTTGGCCAAGGTCAGTCTCATCCATGTTCCCTGTATTGTAGATAAACAATACGGGACTATTGGGGTACTCAGAATTGGGGGAATAATTGTTATTGGGTACTGGACTGGTAGAAAATAACTCATTGGCAGGACCCCGGATCAGAACAGGTGGAGAGAAATTTTGTAAATTGTTATTAGATGGTGTAACATAATGTTCATGTGGAAGACGCACTTTTTTTGCATTTGGAGTTTCATTAGCAAACTTCACAATGATGGGTTCACTGCCACCGGGTGGGATTGTCTGATTTAAATCTGCAATTGCAGCTTCTGCCATCTTTTTCTGGTCATATAATACAAAACCAACTCCTTTCGATTGATTTGTATTTGGGTAAGTCATTATCCTTGAACGAATGATGATACCATAAGGTTCAAACAGTTTTATAAGGTCACTCTGTGTGTAATGGTTAGGTAAATGGCTGATGTAGACATTGGCTCCTTTCACACCAAGTCCACTAGGGCGAGCAAGGGCCACTTTAATTCTTTTGTTTTCAATATGCAGTCCATTCAGTGTTTGTACGGCCCGGCTAGCATCTTCTGGATTCTCGTAGTCAACAAAACCAAAGCCATAACTGTAACCTGTTGCTCTGTCTTGAATTATCTTTGACGACTTGATAGGCCCAATTGTGAGGAACATGGCTCGGAATTCTTCATTGGAAAGACTTTGGGGGATGTAATTAACAATGAGGTTAGTTTGGTTCCCACCATTGTTGTCATCACATTGATCTTCTGTTGCCATGGCAACAGTACATGTTCTGTCATAACAGCTCTCGTAATGGTGAAAAGCTTTTCTGCAAAATAATGAAATCTTATTTCAGCAATTGTGTAACTTCAAATTTGGTATATCAAAGGAGAGATAGATAAGCCACTGGTTTGCATGTACTTACTTTCAGCTGATGAATGCAGTAGCAAAAACTGTAGCGACAAATAACCACCAGTCAAGATACATAAGAAATCTGAAGAAATAAAATGCATTGTGTGAATAACATTGGTATAAGCCAACTCAGAATCTGAATTCCAAATTACCAAAAACTTTAGAGGAAATCACTTGGTTTTAAGCTAGCAAATTTTAGTCTTACTTTACTGGATATTACAAAGAGTTATTGCAATTAAACAAAGTCTAAAGGGGAATCAAAATCATGAAAGCTGGCACGAATTTCGTGTCAGCTTTCATGAACTGATTTTTTTTCCTGCTTTCTTTCAAGTACCAGTGCATTTGCAAAAGGAAAAAAAAAAATGGGGGGGACTCTTTCGTCCTCCCCAGAAGTCGGTGAATATAGAAAGAAAATGATTATGAAACAGACAAATTATTAGTTAAAGTAAAAATTGCAAGGATTAAAAAAAAAAAAGAGGATTTCAATTGACTGTCCTTCCTGAAAATATAGGAAGATACATAATGACGCGTATAAGTTTTTAAATCTTAAATCCAAAGTAAAACAAAATTTTAGAAACATTTGAATTTCTCTATATTTTTGTTCAGCGATGTGGAAGTGTCGGCAATAAGAAACGGTTAAGTATCAAGTGTTAAAAAAAAAAAAAAAAAAAATTGCTATAATAAAAAATTTTACGTAATTTTGGTAAAACTGAAAGCGAAAAATTGAGTTACTCCCCTTAAATTGTACTTTTTTTTTTCTTTTATTGTACCTGTTAATATAATGAAAATTATACGAATCTACTTAAATAAGCAGGTTATATTATGCATAGAGTGGATGATTTGTACATATGAAAAATACCTACACGTCAATAATAATAAAAAAAAAGTCAAGCAAAATTACTGACTGTCGTGTATGAAAGATGATTTTTCTAATTTCAGTGCAACCGAAGAAAATTCAAGATAAATGCTCAGATATTAAGCAAAAACATTTTTGGGAAAACGTGAATAAAGAAACGTTTTATCTTTAAATTTACTAAGGTATTGTAAAAAATGCCTCAAATAAGGGAAAATGAAAAGCAATTGCTTATATTTATTGGTGCATATGTTGAGCTAACAATATTTTGTTTATTGTGGAGTTTTTACATTTAGTATTTTTAAGATTGTATTTCTGTTGCAATTAAATAGGATGTCATATTTATCACATTAAGTTAAATAAATGGATCATAACTTCTACCTAATAATGATGGTTTAAAAACAATGGTAGAAAAAAAAAGTATATAGGTTAGTGAAAATAGTGAGGAGATTTGTAAAAACAAATTCGAGAAAAATTTTAAATGACACTGACGAAAATTGAGAATGTAATACATAGAGCTAAACTGTTAATAGGGAAAAATACAGGCTAATCAACAACTTCACATGCAGGTACTGCAGTGGAGTACACATTGCCCCTAAAAATAAAGACAGTTATCTTTCTCCCTAAAACTTGATAGTTTGGACACGAATAACGACGAAATCGGGTTGAGTTGATATGCAACTGATTTCCAGATACAAAATTTCAAACGTTTCAGTTGTTTAAATGTGTTCTGTAGTAGTAATAGTTAAATAATTTAAAATAAATATAATCCAGCAAGGATTAGTTGGTCGCACATGGCAATTATTGCACCCGCTGCTGCCATCTTGTGTAAAAGTTAGTGAAAAAGCTATTTCTACTAACTTAGTAAAGAAAAATCCATCTTTTTCAGATTGCACGAACATTTTAAACAGGATTGTTCAAGGAAAATAAAGAGCTATTGATTAGATACTTAGAAAAAAAAACAAACCTAACTCCCAGCTTTAAAAGTTGACTTAAAAAAAAAAAAAAAAATGTAATAAACAAAATAATTTTTTTTTTTTTTTCCGAAGTAAAATGTTGGCAAAGAAAGCAATCGAGTTTGTGTTTAATTATAAAATGTACATAAGCAATTCGAAGGAGGATTCAAAATTAATAGCGAAAGCATTTTTTTTTTTTTTTTTTACCGAATGGATCAAATTATCGGAGAAAAAAAAGACAACCGGCATGTGACACTAACATTTCTATAACCGACAGCCTCCTCTCGATTATGAAGAAAAAATATAAAATAATTAAATAAATAATCCGGTCAATTTTAAAAAAAAAAAAAAAAAAAAAAAGTCGTAGTCAAAATAATTTTAAAAAAGTAAGCAAAAAATCTACTTGAAAAAAAATGGACAAGAATGAGAAGTTATCAGGAAAAATATTTAGTAACAATCATTTTCAGTATGAGAAGTGAAGTGACAAGTTAAAAGCTTATATTATAATATATATATATATAATATATATATATATATATATATACATACTTAATGAATATAATTTAAATCCATTGTCGATAGTAATAGCATAAAAGTCGCAGAAGCAGTAGGAGAAGCACATGGCGGCAATAGTTGCCGACTTAGTGTACCCTAATGTGCACAACAGAAATTTGAGGGAATTCAGGCATTAAATAATTTATTCTTTAATCAAATTCTTAACACTTACGCCAGTTGTAATTAATTAACTAACTAACAGAAAGTAATGGAAAAGAGAACAGAAACGAACACATACCTTGATAAGATATTAAATATGGCGGCCTATTATCAACCAACTTTCGGTAATATTCGGGTATTTTCGAATATCTACGTAGACATTAAAACGGTTGCAAATTCAAAGTAGAGTAGTACACCGTAATATACCGGAAATGAA